AAAAAAAAAAAGAAGCGTCGTATTTTCACGCATGCGCATTTCAGTGGAGTCCAGGGCCGGGTATCATGGCGACGTACGTGGACATCCTGAAGAGAGAGTTTCCTGAAATCGACACTGAGCTTTTCGACTATATCACAGGTGAGACGGCGCAGGGAGAGCGGCTGTCTGCCGGCCGCTCAGAGGCGCTCCTCCTCCGGGGGAAGGAGGCAGCGGCTGCCGGCTTCGGCCCAGCGGCCTTAGGCTGCCGGGTAGCCGCGGCTCTCTGACGCTCGGTTTCCCGGGGGGATTCAGTCAGAGCCGGCATGAGCGGGACACACCGAGCCGCTCTGGATTAAAGCGGCTCAGAATTCAGATTCATACAAACTACCACTTGGGGCCCCAGAAGAACAGCAGAGAACATGGCGCCATGTTTTACCGTAAAGTAATTGATATGGAGCTGGTTGGACTACAAACAGAACATGACTACAGATTCAGCACGTGTCTGTCAATCTGTTCCGTGTTATAACTTTTAAAGTAATCTAACATGAGGTCCTCTGACATTTAAATGTTTTACTGTCAGTCAGAAGGTGACCTTTCTTCAGAGCAGATGTTCCTCCTAATCAGAGCCTCAGTGGGACTTCATTGGAGCACATCTACAAATGTAGATCTGTAAGAAAGAAAAAAACAAAACCGGTTTAAGTACAAACAAAAAAATTACTGGACATTACACTGGATTATTCTAGTTTGTTGATCCTTTCCATCTGCTGGGGTTTCATGTTGATTCTTTCCCTGGGGGTCTTCTCTCAGATTTTGGTTTTCTTCCAACTGATGGAAAAGAAAATATAACCATGAGTCTGTAGAAATGGATTGAGAGTAAATGGGACTCTTGGTTGCAGGCGTGTTGGACAGCGGCGGCCCAGACTTCGAGGATGGTGAGGAAGTCTTTGACGCCGTCGGTGGCGTTCTGCAGGAAGTCTCTGCTGACAGCAAGAACGAGGACGACATCAAGGATATCTGTCTGCAGATGTTCAACACCCTGAAGCTGTGAGCGTCCTCTACCTCTGTTGTGTGCCTTAAATGGTTCTGAGTGTTGATGATGAGAGGGGGTCAACGTGTGATCTGTGTCTCTCAGGAACAACCATCGGCATCCCCAGAAGCAGATGCTGCTGGACGCTCCGGTGCAGCTCTCTCAGATGTCTGCTGACTCTGGTAAGAAACGACTCTGGAGGGGTCGTCATGTTTGAACGCGTCCGCCTATAAACCCCTCGGTTAGAGAGCTCAGGGTTTCTTTTATCTTGTTTTATTGAAGCCTTTGATTGGAACTCCTTTCTGTAACGACTGATGTCTGTGTGGTTCCCCTCAGGCTCCGCAGCCAAAGATATACAGGGAATCTGGATGATGAAACGTCCCCAGAACACAGTGAGTCTATTCAAAGATTTAAAAACTGATCTTAATCAATGGAAACTATGAAAATGTGCTGCAGCCTTACGGGCTGGTTATAGTCAGAAACCAGGTCCGTCAGCGTGTGTGTCGCAGTTAACGCAGATATGCCCCCGCCAATTCCGCAAACACTCTGCTGCTCTTCTCCAAAATTGTAGGTGACGCAGATGGATTGGTCAAATCTACATCCTCTCTACACTATGCGTATTTCCTGTTTGGAACCTAACCAGCTTGTTTTGTTTGTATGACCGCCATTGTGGAAAATGACTCGTGAAGTTGGACCAGCTAAAAGAGCGTGATGTACAAGAACGCTGGGACCCTTTTTCCACCTGGATCCTCGCTCTTTTTCATTCTCATGTCCCTCCGTTGTCGCACAAACTGGCCCCCTCTTCCTCACCGCCCCGGCCGAATCTGGACCCACAGCTAGTTCCTGATTGTCCCTCTTGCGTGGTGGCGTGAAATAACAGTGCAGACCACGCTTCAATATTGGGCATAAATCAAAAATATCTGCATCATACCTGCGACAAGCTCACTGCGACACACTGCTGTGGGAGTATAACCAGCCTTTACATAAAGGAATGGATATTAAGATCAAATCTGACAAATTTCCCCTTCATTGTTGAACCTCTGTGGTTCTTTCTGTTTTCTGTATCGTTTTTCTCTCATGTTGTTTCTGTCTCTGCAGACCGTCGATGCAAAGAAGTTGGAGAAAGCTGAAGCCAAGCTAAAAGCCAAGAATGAGCGCAGGAATGAGCGGGATTCTCAGAAATCCTCCGGTCCGCTGTGAGCGCCACCGCCTTTCTCCTTCTCTAACCTCCATCCTTTCTCCTCTCCTCTCACCTTTCGTTCTTACATCTGTCCTCAGAGTCCTGGAGGAGGCGTCGGCCAGCCAGGCCAGCAGTAAAAAGGACAGCCGGGCCGACCAGTCGGGAAAGAACCGCAGCTATGACATCCGCATCGAGAACTTTGACATTTCCTTCGGGGAGAGGTGAGATCTGCCCATCACCAGAGCCAGCAGCAGATGGCGCTGTTTACAACCAGACTTGATCTCTGCTGTTGTTGTACTCAGGTGTTTGCTCCAGGGGGCGGAGCTCTCCATGGCGACGGGCCGGCGGTACGGCCTCATTGGTCGGAACGGTCTGGGGAAGACCACGCTGCTGAAGATGCTGGCCAGCAGGAACCTACGTGTGCCGGCACACATCTCCATTCTGCACGTGGAACAGGAAGTGGCGGGTGACGACACAATGGCGCTGCAGAGCGTCCTGGAAAGCGACACGCAGCGAGAGGGGCTGCTGGAGGAGGAGCGGCGGCTAAATGCTCGCATTGCCAACGGAACGTAAGGAGGCACTATGGCGGCGTGGCATGTTATAGTTACAGAGCAGACGGTGACGTTTGGTTGTTGTTTAAGGGCTGACGGGATGGAGAGCGTCCGACTGTCAGAGATTTATGCCAAACTTGAGGAGATTGAAGCTGATAAAGCCCCCGCACGGTAACCATGCCAACAATACCGACATTTCCTCATATTAGTCGGTTTACCAATTCTTCCTCCTCTCTAAAACGCTTCGCTGTGTTTGTTACCTGCTTCTTTCTCGTCCAATCAGAGCTTCCGTCATCCTGGCTGGTTTGGGGTTTTCTCCCAGAATGCAGCAGCAGGCCACAAAGTGAGTGATGCTTGAACACGTGTTTTCCACGTTGGTGTGTAGCACATACAGAAGATGCGTGTTTTCTGTGTGCAGGGAGTTCTCAGGAGGATGGAGGATGAGGCTGGCGCTGGCCAGGGCTCTGTTCGCTCGGTGAGTTTCACCTTAAGTCATTCTTTTTCCCCCCTCAGGTCACCAGATTCCTTATAACTTGTCTGTGTTTTCCTCCAGTCCAGACTTGCTGCTGCTGGATGGTAAGTTAGCCCCACTCCCTAGAAGCTGCCCTCATGTCCTGTAGTACCCCATTATTAGCTGCAGTGTTATTTAAGGTTTCTGAAAGCTGTGTTTGTGTTTCAGAGCCCACCAACATGTTGGACATCAGAGCCATTCTGTGGCTAGAGAACTACCTGCAGGTCTGTAGCTGTAGCATCGCTAATTGAAAACAATTAAGTAATTAGCCGCCAGCTAACCTCAGTTTAATGACCCTTCGCCTTCAGACGTGGCAGTCCACCATCTTGGTCGTCTCCCATGACAGAAACTTCTTGAACGCCGTGGCGACCGACATCATCCACCTTCACTCCCAGAGGCTTGACAGTTACCGTGGCGACTACGAGAACTTTCTGAAGACCAAAGAGGACCGTCTGAAGAACCAACAGCGAGAGTATGAGGCCCAGCTGCAGTACAGGCAGCATATACAGGTACAACAGCTGCAGCACAGATATGGAGGGAATTTTCAGTTTATTTATGTAGCACCAATTCACAACATGTCGTCTCCAGGCACTTTACAGTTCAACAGATCATACAGTCAAATTGATTCAAAGTTTTCTATCAAAGGAAAACCAGTTGATTGCATCAACTTAAAGGCAATCCTTCACGCTAAGAATGCTTGTAGCAACAGAGAAGAGGGAAAAACTCCCTTTTAACAGGAAGAAATCTCCAGCAGAACCAGGCCCCAGAGTGAGCGGCCACCTGCAGAGGCCGACTGGGGTTCAAGGAGACAAAAGCAGCTGTAAAAGGCGGCCCGGTCCAGGAAACACACAGCCAGGCAGACTAGCTCACAGCCAGCTCCCATGTCAGAGGATAAGGAGAGCACATCCAATTAGTCACAGTCATAGAAACAGGACTATACTAAAAATCAGGCCGAGCTGAAACATCTATAAACAAAGGTGTTGATGGCAGCAGTGTGTTATTTCTCTCCAGGATGGAGTCGCAGCCAAACAGGAACAGACCAGATGAAGCTACTATGGGAAAAAGCAGAGATAGCAGAACGTTAGAGATTGAACTAACAGATTCTGCAGATTGGGAGAATAGAGATAGAATGATGAGAAAAAGAATGACTTTGTTTCATTATTCTCGGCAGCAAAGAAGACATTTACTAAATTGAAACTTGAAAATAAAATAAGATCTAGAAATGAATTTTTTTTTTAAACTTTAAAAAAAATAAGTCTGATTTTGTCATTTAAATTTTTTTAGTTTTCAATTTTATTTTGAAATTTTAATATATTTTTATTTCTCCTTTTTTAGCGTGAGTTTTATAGATCGTATTCTTTTACATTGTGTTTGGCAGTTCACATTCTGTCCGCTTCAAGCCCAATAAAACGCTCAACGCTCTCATTGAGCGTCCAGACTGACCAATAGAGAAGTGTCTTTGCTCCTCCTGAGGGAAGCCGCCCCCAGAATGGAAGAGGATGAGATCTGGGAAACACAATTTGAAATTCATAACATTTATAACCCTTTGTAAAACAACAGAAAAAAAAAAGTTATCTCGAAAGCTTTTTATTTTTTTTTTATTAAAACATATTATCAGTCTTTCACTTCAAGATTGTATTTTTTTCAAGTTTCCATATTTCCATTTCCTAAATGTGTTTTTTGCTTAGAATAATAATAGAAGAAAAATCTCCTCCATACCCAAACGGCTTTAACTGCATTATTCCCTCTCATGAAGACTTGATGTTTTGTTTTTAAGGTTTTCATCGACAGATTTCGGTACAATGCCAACAGAGCTGCTCAGGTCCAGAGTAAGATCAAGCTGCTGGAGAAGCTGTAAGTTTTCACCTGGATTGGGGGTTACAGGGAGGGTGTGTGTCAATCTTTTTATGGGTGGTTCTTATGTCCTGCAGACCGGAGCTGAAACCCATCCAGAAAGAATCAGAAGCCACTTTGAGGTAAGAATCTCAGGCCTTCACAGCTTCCTGATCCACCAGAATTGAAGTGATGAAATAATGTTTGTTATGGATGGACCGCTTGATGTTTTCCTGCAGGTTTCCTGATAATTTCGAAAAGCTGTCTCCACCTATTCTTCAGTTGGATGAAGTAGAGTTTTATTACTCTCGAGATCAGCCCCTCTTCTCTGGACTCAACCTGTCGGCTGACCTCGATTCCCGCATCTGCATCGTACGTACGACCAATCAGATCGTCATCAGTGCACATTAGGGAAGAATTTGTGGAACTGATTGTATAATTAATCAGAGTGGATGATGATGATATGATTTATGACAGGTTGGTGAAAACGGCGCTGGTAAAAGTACCATCCTGAAACTTCTAATGGGTGACCTGACGCCGGTCAACGGCATCAGACAGGCTCATAGGTGAGACCTTCAGACGTCTGAGTAGATCCGCTGGATCAATATTATATCAATGGAGGAAAGAAGATCTTAAGAATACGAAGTATTAAGGGCTGATTTGGGCACTTTTCTATCCCAGAGATCAAAACAATGAAACAACCAATGGCATTTCATTTACATGAGTTATAATAAACATGTTGTGGCACTCACATGTTCACCCTAATACCTAGTACTTGTCTCCTTGAACCCCAGTCGGCCTCGGCAGATGGCCGTTCTCACTGAGCCTGGTTCTGCTGGAGGTTTCTTCCTGTTAAAAGGGAGTTTTCCTCTCCACTGTCGCGACAAGCATGCTTAGTGAGAGGGAATGCTGAAGAGGCAATAAGTCAATGCAATCAGCTGGTTTTCCTTAGATAAAAAAAATTTAACTAATCTGACTGCATAATCTGGTTGAATTGTCTCTGTAAAGTGCCTTGAGATTACATTTATTGAATGAAATTAATCCTACTATTTCATTAAGTGTAAAGATGAAAGTACCATAGTAACCACTCATAATTCACATTTGCAGGACTGTTTAATGATAATATTTTATCACCCCATCAATATATTCTGAATTTTTCAGTAAACCTTTTTGCATAAAAATGCTATATTCGGCAGGACCTGAGCTGACATTGATGGACTTAGTTGGTCCTGTTGGCTGGTCTGCTTTGCTCAATGTGTGCTCCTGAATCGCCTTAAATGTTGAGTATTTTTTAGCCTCATCGTGGGAAAATGTAGGTTTTAATAACTTTGGGTAAAACCTGATAAGTTGAACTGACATGAGGAAAATGTTTGCCTTAAAACCATTCAAGTTCATTAACTCAGTGTAAGTTGAATAGAAAAATCCATTCATGTACATTTACAATTTTTATTAAGGTAAAGTGGATATCAACGTTTTATTTCGTAAACCGATTATAAGAACAGTTCGATTCCCACATTCAAATCCTAACTATGTTTGTTTGACATAAGTTGGAATTTAATTCTTTTATTTTCTGTATTTATGTCAATCAAGCTTTAGTATAGAAATTTATTCTATAAACATTCCGGCAATTATTAAGTGCTGACATATGCTGTGTCCGAATGTCTGCAGTGATCACTATATAGGGCACTATATAGTGGTTACAGCATTTTAAGTGAGTGTCAGAATGTCTAGTGGATGAAAAAGTAGTGGACTTCAAATTTCCCACAATGCACCTTGAAAACTAGTGATCATCCATGGTCACTAGTAGAGCAGATATATCCCTGAATGCTTTGCGAGGAGAGCCCTCCACCAAAAGTAGGACCGTGATGGGAGGCGGAGTTACGTGACCAACAGGGAGGGAAAAGTAGTGATCATCTGTCCGAACCATCAGTTAACCGAGTTTGCTATGAAGTCCACTATATAGTCCTCCCTCTATATAGTGACTGAGGTGTTTAGGGGTTAGGGCGAATGTTCAGACACAGCCATTACTGTTTTTGCAACTTTGAAGCCACACCCACTGTCAACCAATCAGCCAATGGGGTCTTATTGGGAAATTCTGCACAAGTACTTTCTCATTCAAGTCAAATTGTTCCTTTTAAGTTATGCTTCATTATTACACAAATAATTCAGGCAAATCTGTACAGTTAAATGTAAATGTAAAAAAAACGAGAACATTGGACTTAGCAGAGATTTTACACAATAATGAGTTTAAGCACTCAGTTAGGTTAATTACTTCAAACATGTGGGTCTTTATAACTTGATGACCCAGCATTCAACGACTGGCTTCAGCAGGTCATGGAGAATCATCAAGAGGCTTTATGCAAAGTGTGCAGATAAACTATAAATGTTACCGTTAGAAAATCCCACCGAGCATATTATTGAACAACTCTGAATGGAAAAAGTATTACCGGTACCAGCATTAACCCAGACAGACAGCAGACCTTTCTGACACTTTCTTCAGCGCAACGAGCTGAGGTTGTTTGAAGCCTGAAAACCGAAGCAAAGCAACAGCCAGCTGTTCTAAAACACATTCATTGATGCCGACAGCCAAAAGTCTTCCATTCCTGAGGAGTTCCAGGTCAAGACATACTCCTGATTTTGTATTTGTAGCCAAGATATTGTAGAGGAAGTAAAGAAGGGAGTTAATTCAACACTGAATTGCTGTATTAGAAACCCTCATCGTATTTTCCTAAGAAGCGAACATCCAGTGCTGTCAACACATCTTTGTGTTGTAACTTTACTCTTTAGGCCTTTTGTTGCTGCAGCCTGGTGTCTTTAAAAGCTACTGTATATGTAATATTTCGGATAGATTTGCAAGAATCGCTAAATTTAAATAAAAATATAACTAATTATCATCAAAACAAACTGTAACAGTAGGCATCTCTGAGAGTGACGGGGCGTTTTTGGGTCAATGAAGCGGTAAGCAATGAATCGGGACTTTTTCCTTTTTTTCTATTCAACCCATTGATAATTTGTCAGTAGAAATTTGGTGCCTTTTTTTTCGTTTTCACTCCAGTAACACATTTCTGTTTCTCAGGAACTTGAAGATCGGCTACTTTAGTCAGCATCACGTTGACCAGCTGGACCTAAACGTCTGTGCCGTGGAGTTGCTGCTCAACAAGTTTCCCGGTAGCCAAAGTGATAAGAAATCTATACGCTGTGGTTGGAGCGTGAGTTCTGATTGGCTGCTGTGTTTGCTCTGCAGGTCGGACAGAGGAAGAGTACCGCCACCAGCTGGGAGGTTACGGTATCACTGGAGAGCTGGCCACCAGGCCGGTGGCCAGTCTGTCAGGGGGGCAGAAAAGCCGAGTGGCCTTTGCTCAGATGACTATGCCATGGTACGGTGCTGCCATGATCAGCTGTTAGTGTTCACCATGGCAACTATGATATCATTTTATTCTTTTCTCTCAGTCCAAACTTCTATATCCTGGATGAGCCGACCAACCACCTGGACATGGAGACCATCGAGGCTCTCGCAAAAGCTCTCAACAAGTTTAAGGTTGGTGGGTTTGTTCTTCAACTGGATCCCGTGTCTCACTGTGAACCTCACCTGTGTGACTTCCCATCTCTTAGGGCGGAGTCATCCTAGTGTCTCACGATGAGCGACTCATCCGGCTGGTGTGTAAGGAGCTGTGGGTGTGTGAAAAAGGGAAGGTTTGGCGCGTTGACGGCGGCTTCGACGAGTACCGGGACATCCTGCAGGAGCAGTTCAAGAAAGAGGGTTACCTGTGAGCCACACTCCTCACTGCTGACTGAACACACCCACCAGTGACCTAATGGATCCTGGAGCAGCAGCCAATAAGCAGCCAGGGCCCATCAGAGGAGCAGAACTGTCAGGTGTCCTGCTGTACAATGTTTGGCTGTTTTGGGTCACCTGGCGAGGTCCCAGTGAACTCTGGATTGGGAACGACTCGAGCTAATTGTCAGGTCCAACAGAACCTGTTACAGAGTTTGAGATTTTATGAGATTTAAAGGACCAGAAAATAAAAAAAAACACAATACGAGTTTAGTCTCTGTTTTAATGTTCTTTATGTGACTGAAGGGAACCAAACTGTTCCTGTTGGTCCAAACATGCCTCTTGGAAAGACTCTTTCCTTTCTGACAGCTCTGGTTCTCCTCAGTTCGTGTTTGGGTCAGTTCTTTCCTGTGGTCCGGTACCGGCTACTTGGTGAGGAATCCATACTTAAGTTTGGAGGACACCCTGTTCATGTGGATCATTCTCCTGTCAGATTCTCCACCAACTCCAGAATTAACTCACAATTAACCATTAGCAAGCTAACGTTGGTCTCAAACTTAAGCTAGAAGCTTTTTGTTAGTATTTAATGCTACTGTCATGCTAATAGCTATTAGCATGCTATACTTACATCACTGTATATATAAATTTAAACACCTCGACACAAAAAAACATTTGTTAAACTTCCAAAAAAATTAAAAAAACAATTCACTGGACTTTTGTTTCCAAGTTTGAAGACGTTTCGCTTACCTTCCAGGAAGCTTTTAGAATTTAAAATATCAGGAATAGCGTTGAGTTTGAGGCTTTATACAGTAGCCCAACAAAGCCTTGTTTTTCATTAGAAAACATAGAAACTTCTTTGTTAGCCTGCCATGCCCCATACCTGCATTGCAGGCCAACAAAAGAGGCCAAACGACCCCTATTCCAAAGGGGTGGATCCGTTCATTCATTTCAATATGCATTTTTCTAAGCAAAAACAAGGCTTTGTTGGGCTACTGTATGAAGCTTCACACTCAAAACTATTCCTGACATTTAAATTGAAAAAGCTTCCTAAATGGGAAGCAAAATGTCTTCAAACTTGCAAACCATGTCCAGTGGATTTTTTATTTTAACTTTTTTGAATGATTATGACCTGGATGACTGAGAATCTTCTCCAACAATTGTTAAACTTCTTTTTAGACTAGGATTATTCAAATCTGTCAGCATGCTACTATAAATGCACTGCACGTAAAAGGGTTTTCAAGTTTGGAGTTAAAAAATAAATCGACTAATATTTCCAGTAATGTTAGCAGGCTAACATTACTGGAACAAAGAGTGACATTACTTGCCTTGGATACCCCTAATTAGGCTGAAGTGTTTCTGAAAGTTGAAATGCCTTTGGTCCCATGCTGGACTGATTCCCTCTGCTGCATGGATCTTGGATAAGTGGATGATTAATAGATTAGTTCTATACAGGGGCGGATCTAGAAAAATATTTATGGGGGGGCAGGAATTTTTGAGGTGTGGCAACATATGGCATTTGTTTACACTGTGCATTTGTGAACGCGCTTTTAGGAAATCCTATACACTACTGTTTATGCTCTAAAAACATTCTAAATGACTTCGTTTGGAGTAAATTCTGGATGCTACCCACTCAGGACACTTGGAATACATTGGACGAGCAGTATGGAGGAATATTGACACGTTTTTTGTGGACTTTTATGGACCTTTCTGCCTCGGGCACCATAGACCTCCATTATTTGAATGTCAGCAGACAGCAAGAAGCCTCCCAGATCTCCAGATGCATTTGAGATATCAAAAAAGTACTCCAGAGTGTTGTTCAGCATGGGGGTGAGTAGAAAATGAAGGCTAATCATGTTTTGGGTGTACTATTCCTTTAATAGGAGATAGAAGAATGATAACACTACTTCTAAAGGGACATTATCACAGGAAAGGTATTAAGGTAAGACACAGGTGCTGAGTCACAGATGTGAGAGATTGACTGTCAGAGAGGCAGCTTTGCAGCATTTGCACAAGAAGAAACTATAGAAAGAAAAAGTTACCCATCAGAGATCTATGGACTGAGCTGTTCTAAAGTGAGCATTACTACAAAGTAGAAATAAATGGGTCAAGGCACCCAAACAAGGTACTGGACATCCATGTATTGTTTACTCTGAACACACATTTACCCCATTTGTTCCTCAGTAACTTGACATACAGCAGTTAAGGTAACATGAAAGGGACATTTCATGCATGTAAATATGCTGTAGATAGAGCTGCTGTATCAAAAAAATCAACAAAAGGCAGGTACTGTATGTTACATCAAAATCTCCACAAATCTGAAAAGAAGCAACATAAAAATAAATTTTGCTTCCAGTCTGAAAAAGTACAGTAGTCTTTTAATCAAGAAGTAAATTTCTGTGGGGAAGGAACATTTTGATTTCCCAAAGGACAGTGAGACAATGTACAAGTAATGTCTTACATCAAATTTAAACACAACAGTCAATACCCTGGTAATTAATGGAAGGGTGTTTAATATCTCTTAAACAGCAGCGTACATTATATATATATATATATATATTCAATTTTTATAAATGACCAATTTTAAAAGCACAAACCTGCACTAAAGAAGCAAGAACTATCAGCTTCACGCAGCTGGAGCTCCTACTATTCAATGATGCGGTCCAGGGTGTAATCACAGTGCATCTGAAATGCAGGGTGGTCAATATCTGCGGGGCTCACGCAAATCACTACGATCATCACCTCCTGTGTGAACGCACATTAATACTGACAGTGAAAGATTGAGCAGGTTATAATAAAATGTTTTAAATTTGAAACCAAAGGTTTGAATAATTATATCAGTGCAATTTTAATCAATATTGTTTTTAAAGGCAATTTAGATGTTTTTTGATGTACAGTCATTGCCAAAAGTTTTGAGAATGATTCAAATGTTAATATTTACAAAGTCTAATGCTTTAGTTTTTATAAGGACAATTTGCATATACTCCAGAATTTTATAAAGAGTGATCAGCGTAACAGCAATTAATTGCAAAGTCAATATTTGCCTAGAAAAGAAACTTTTTTCCCCAAAACACATTTCAACGTCATTGCAGCCCTGCCTTTAAAGGACCAGCTAACATGGTTTCAGTGATTGTTCCATTAACCCAGGTATGGGTGGTGATGAGGACAGGGCTGGAGATCAATCTGTCATGATTAAGTAAGAATGACACCACTGGACACTTTAAAAAGAGGCTGGTGCCTGGCATCATTGTTTCTCTTCTGTGAACCATGGTTATCTCTGAAGAAACACGTGCAGTCATCATTGCACTACACAAAAATGGCCTAACAGGAAAGAGAATCGCAGCTAGAAAGATTTCACCTCAGTCAACATCAGTCATCTATCGCATCATCAAGAACTTCAGGAAGAGAGGTTCTATT